TTTGTTGTTTAGATGCCAATCTTCGGCGGAACTGTGTGACCGGGGCGAGTTTTGGTTTGTTGGCGCGCTGGTACGTTTTTCTCCAATTGGCCTAGCTGCATCAGCATAAGAGAAGCCACTCTTAACAGTAGAGTTTGAGATAAACTGTACTTTAGTGCCTTGGTTATTTGGGTAACTCCTATTGCTACTGATAACTAGTCCATCTTTCGGCAACCTCACAGCTGGCTTAAGTTTTTTGGCTAGATCAATTCTTACCTTGCAGCCTCTGAAGCTCGACATGTGGTCTTCGCCGCAATTAGCGCATATAAATTCCCCATTATCATTCAGGTTACATGATTTTGAGCCAGTATCATGGTCCCCCGAGCATTTACCGCAAACCGGCTTTTTAAGGCAATAGTTCCTCGTGTGCCCGAAATCTTGGCATCTGAAGCATTGTACCAGCTCTTTACTCTGTTTGGCCTTTGATATTGTAACCCTGTGTCTACCAATTTGAGTTATTTTTAGTGCCTCAGCAACGTTGGGTGCGTTCTGGAGGTTAACGTAAAACATATTTTGTCTTGTTTTGACATTATTTATATCCTCACCATCCTCCTCATTAATTTGAATGTTACGCCAGTCCGGTTTTCTGGGGCAATATATATTCAAAACTGTAAAGCCCTTGTCAGTAAAGGTGCGCTCTATTAATTGCCTGGGTACATTGGGATGAATATCTCTGAGCACCAATCTGCAGGGTTTGTTCTCCCTCAACTGATGGTGCCAGAATTCACAATTTTGTATCGACAATAATTTTACTACTGCACGGAACGCATTGGAATTCTTTGTATAAATACGCGAGATCCCAGATTTCGACGTGCGAATATCGTAGTCGTCAGCTGAGACAACAGAATTGAGTGCCTGCTCTAGTTTGTCCATTTTGTCAACTTGCGGCACGCAGATAGCTGGAGGCTTTGATACTGCGTTGCTTTGTTGCTCATTGCTAGCTTCACTTGGTTGGCTGGGCTCGAATTCATGTTGTTGAACTTGCTCATCATATTCCATTAAAGTGTCGGCCTCATCTGCAAGGGCTGCGAAGCGATTATTTTGCAGTGCTGCCGAACTGGTGCTGGCAGAGATATTGTGCTGAATTCCTTTTATTTGGTTAGTTTGTGTTGGCTTAATTTTTTGAATTGTTTTGACTGCTTTTAATTCTTTGTCCGCTCTTTTTTGTTTTTTACGAAGAGAGACCATCGGAAATTGAAATGCACAGTCATTTTTTTGCGCAGTTTGAGAAGTTGCAGTACTCACGGTGTTTGGTGTGGAGCATATGCTGCCAGTTGTAGTCATTGCAACTGTGTAGTTGGATTGGCAGTTTCCATTAGAAAATGTTAAGGTGCTGGTAGTGGTTGTGCTTGTAGTCCTCGCTATCGAGGCACTATTGTAATTGGACATTCTAATTGACTTCATCAAGTCACTGGCCAAGGTGGCACGTAGTTCTCCAGGTGCACCAGCTAATTTCTTCATTTTCTCATACTCGGGCAGCTTGTTATAAAGCTGTGAGTGAGCGGAAGTATCTGCCTCATCCATTTTTGGGCACAATACAATATTTGCTTATAAAATATTGCAATTGCCCAATATTTAACAATACAAATGTTTAATACGCTGATAAGGTTTCGTTGCCCCTCCTACGCAGCTGCGGGAAGGGCGGGCGGGGAGAAAAGTCTCGCCCAGAGGGCAAGGCACACTTTGTTTGTGATTTAGTGTCTTATCTTAGTTAACCGTAACCGATACCGACACCGCTCAAGACGGCGTCTACAAATTTATATTAGAGCTCGGTTTCGCACACAGATGACTGCTGATAACAAACGCGACGATCTATTAATAGAACTTAGTGCAAGCGTGACACGTCTAATAGCAACGAATGCACCGAAGACACTGCATTTTTTTTTTTTTTTTAATAACTTAATTTTTTTTTTTAAATTTTCTTTAAAATAGCCCGTAATCTCCACAAAAAAGGAAAATTAAAAAAAAAATTTTTTTTTATAACCTGTACCCAAAGGGTACAAGGGTATATTAGTTTTGTGCGAGTGCACATGGAACACACAGAAGGAGGCTTGGTAAACCCCAGAAAGTATATATATTCTTAAATTAATTTAGTTAATTAATTAAATTAATTTAGTTAATTAATTAAATTAATTAATTAATTTAATTACTTTTTTGTGGAGTGGTACAGGGTATTTAAGAGTTGAGCCTGCTCGACTTTAGCATTCCTTTCTTGTTTTTAATTCAATTAATTAATTAAATTAATAAAGAAAATGTATTTAATACTTTAATATTTAGTATTTAATAGAAGACATGTTTATGTACAGTTTTACATTTACGTCACGTGTCTATGTGTATTTATATGCATGTATGTATGCAGCACAAAGTTGAACCAAAGCAGCAACAACAGCAACATTTGCCGACAGCACTGCGAGCAGAGCTGTGTAAGCATTTTCGCAGTCAACCAAACAGCAACATCAACAACAGCCGTGGGCAGCGCTGCAGCAGCAAATATATTTATGGCTATAACTTCTCGTTAAATCGGTCTATCATAGTGAAACTTGGCATACGGACATATAATAACCAACTGGGGGTATTCCCAAAATTTTAGTTCGAAATTCCAAGAATTACGGGAGTTACGATTTGCGGGGTAGAGGGGGAGGGAGGGAAATTCCAAAATATACTTTTTCTGCGTATTCACATAAGGCATCTGGGACTGGTGTTCCTAGGTCTTATAGTCTCCGCGATATAGGCGATTATACGAATGGAAAATCGGGAAAACCCCCATAGGGGGGAAGTGGGGGGGGGGGGGGGGAATCAAAAAAATAAAACAAACTCGTATAGAATACGCACATAACGCATCTTTGTGCAAAATTTGGTGTCTCTATCTCTTATAGTCTCTGAGATCCAGGTGTTCATACGGACGGGCAGACGGACAGACTGAAAGACAGGGCTAGATCGACACGTCTCGTCATGCTGATCAAGAATATATTTACTTTGTGGGGTTTGCCACGCCTCCTTCTGCCTGTTACATTTTTCAGCTCCCGCAAACCTAATATACTTCTGTACATTTCATGTACAAAGTATAAACAAAATAGAACGCTACAGTCGAGCAAGCCCGACAGTAAAATAGCCTGTACTCTCCACAAAAAAGAAAAACTAAAAAAAAAAAATTTAAAAAATAAAATAAAAAAAAAATTAAATTATTAAAAAAATGAATGAAAGAATGAATTAATTAAATTAAATTAGAATACATGTTTATGTTCAGTTTAAGAATAAAAAAAGAAAGGAATGCTAAAGTTGAGCAGGCTCAACTCTTAAATACCCTGTACCACCCCACGAAAAATAAATTAATTTAATTTAATTAATTAATTAATTAATTAAATTTAATGTATTTAAATTAATTAAATTTAATTTATTTAAATTAATTAAATTTAATTTATTTAAATTAATTTAATTTAATTTAATTTAATTAATTAACTAAATTAAACATAAAATATTCCATACATACATTTACATCAGAATCGTGCCTATGCGTGTTTGTGTACTTGTACATATGTATGTATGTATGCATTGGGCCTGGTTATATGGCTATAACTTTCTTTCTGATCAACCTATCATAATGAGCTGTCATAATGAACTTGGTATACGGATATATAATCACTAACTGGATGTGTCTACCAAATTTTAGTTCAAAATTCCAAGAATTACGGGAGTTATAGAAAATCTACAATAGGGTGGAGTGGGGGGGGGGGGGGGGTGCATCGGGAAAAATGAACAAACTCGTCCTTTCTCGGGCTCAGGAGAATCTGTATACCAAGTTTGGTTATTCTAGCTCTTATACTTTCTGAGATCCTTGCGTTCATACAGACAGACGGACAGACGGACATGGCTATATCGACTCGGCTTGTCATGCTGATCAAGAATATATATACTTTGTGGGGTCTGCCTCCTTGCACTCATACAGACAGACGGACGTACTGACATGGCTATATCTGCCACATCTACTTCTCTGTGTTACATACATTCGCACAAAACTAGTATAGCCTTTTACCCTTATACCCTATAACAGGCTATAACAAAACAAGATAGAACGCTACAGTCGAGCAAGCTCGACAATAAAATAGCCTGTACTCTCAACAAAAAAGAAAAATTAAAAAAAAAATATATTAAAAAAAATGAATTAATTAATTAATTAATTTAATTTAATTAGAACACATGTTTATGTTCAGTTTTAACAGCATACATTTACATCACGTACCTATGCGTGTTTATATGCGTGTATGTATGCAGCACAAAGTTGAACAAAAGCAGCAAGAACAACAGCTGCGGGCAGCGGCAGTGCTGCAGGCAGCGCATGAGCAGCGATTTTAATTATGGCTATAACTTTCTTCTGAATTGACCTATCATGATGAAATTTGGCACATTAGTACTAACTGGATGTACCTACCAAAATTGATTTCAAAATTCCGAGAATTACGGGAGTTATGAAAAAAAACACGAATTGCGGGGGAGTGGGGGGTGTATCAGAAAAAATAAACAAACTCGATCTGCCTAGGGCTTATAGAAACCTTGATACCAATTTTGGTTATCCTAGCTCTTGTACTTACTGAGATCCTTGGGCTCATACAGACAGACGGACATGGCTATATCGACTCGTCTTGTCATCCTGATCAAAAATATATATACTTTGTGGGGTCTGCCACGCATCCTTCTGTGTGTTACATACATGCGCACAAAACTAGCCTTTCACCCTTTGGGTACAGGCTATAACAACTACATATGTAACAACATTTTATTCTATTAATTTCTCTATAACGTAAATATTGTATCTACCAATTTTGAGGACGGTATCTTTCCTTTCGGAGCTTATGCCAAAAAACGGCATTTGAGACCATAGTGCCGTAGAAAAAAAAAATTGTTTTTCATTGAAAAATTTTAAGTATTTATCTTGCTCTTCTATTGTACTTATATAATTGCAGATCAAAAATGTAAATTTCGCGATATATCAATTTACCTGAAAGCCTGCGGCATTCCTGTCATAAGTCCAGAAAATATACAATTTCCAGCCAATTTTCTGAACACTGAGCAAAGGTATGTTTAAATTTTGTATGTATATATCTAGTATATAATTTAATTGGGACCAGTTTATATATTTAGGAGAATAGGGCTATGTAGTCCCATCTCTCCCATCTCGAATGCGTATCGACTCTCCGCATGCACCAATGTAATTCAGAAGACAATTCAATATTAATTTGACAGCTTCCGAACGGAGATACAGTTGACTCCTAACGAAATAAAACATTAATATAGCAAAATAATACTCTAAATCATCTCCCACACGGCCATCGTGTCTATAACACGTTTTGTAATGATTGTTGTAAACTCCAATAGTCCTGTATTTGTACAGAACATTGTAGTATCTGATTTCACTACAATTACACAGAGTATTCGTAGTTTTTAATAACGCAAACATTTTTCTTTTCGTACCTAAAAGGTACAAGAGTATATTTTTTCGGGAGGTGGCAGGATAACAGGCAGAAGGAGGTGTAGCAGACCCTGGAAAGTATATATATATATATTCGTGATTAGCATGCCAAGACGAGTCGATGTAGAACTTTCTGTCCGTCCATTTTGCTCGTCTTTGCTGGGCTAGGTATTTGTGCTTACAATTATAAATTTATTTTCCATATGATATTTATCTTCAGACACTCTTTAAAGAGTTCATTTCCCAAATAACAAATTACTTTGGTGCGTTATTAGAGAAAGGACAAATAGTGCAATAATATGTATGTAGTATGATAGTGCTAATCAACTTAAGTAATTTCTAAAACTTGTACAATTTGACAAAGATATTTAATTGAGCATACACACATAGTATGTATGTACATGCCCCAATGAGAACAAACATATCTTATTCCGCGGCGGGCGGACAGCTAGTCCTCACTTACATGTGCCACCCGCCCGCGCTTCCTCAGCGCGTGCATGCCCGGTCAAGTTCCGGTCTCCGTAGCTCTCCCAATGCTGTAGAGGTGAAGTTGCAACAGGAGTTCTAAAAACGCTTGTCCGCCACCATGGTGATGGTGAAGTTTGCTGGCGACAGCGCTTCCCCTTGCAAGTTTCTAAGGTGACTCCTAGCCCCCTCGAACCTAAGGCATACGAAAGTGACGTGGTGTGAGTCCTCAATAACTTCACGCCTGCGGAAGGTACAAGTAGTGTTCCAAAGTAAACAGGACTTTTAAAAAAAAAAAACAGAACAAATGGTTTTTTCGGCAAAATAAATTTATTTTTTTCAAAATGGTCTCCTTCTGCTTCAATACAGCTTTTTGCACGATCCAAAAGCATGTCGAACGAGTGTTTTAGCTCGTTGGCCGGTATGCGCGCCAGTATGCCGGTGCAAGCCTTTTGAGCTTTTGGCCTCTACGTCTACATAACGCTTTGCTTTCATGGGCAAATGCATTCTTCCGAAAAGGTAGAAGTCGCACGGTGCCATATCAGGTGAATACGGCGAGTGGTTAATGGTTAAAATGTGATTTTAGGTCATCAGTCAATTTGTGCGGAACAAACCGTGCACACACTTTTCGTAAGCCCAAATGTTCGGTCAAAATGCGATAAATCGCTGTTTCGATGTTCAATTCCATTTCCATCAATTTCAATGATGACTTCGGCTGTTTTTGATGAATTCACGCACAGTTTCGATGGAATTTTCGGTGATCACGAATTTTGATTGGCCCACATTTTGATCGTCATTTATGTCCTCACGACCACTTTGAAAACGTTGAAACCACTCGTGCACTCTGCTACGGGATAGGCAATCATCGCCATAAACTTTTTCCATCAATTGAAACGTTTCGGTAAAAGTGTTAACAATTTTAAAACAAAATTTAATGTTGGCTCTTTTTTCGAAGCTCATTTTCGCACCGATAACACAAACATACTGACACTTAAAACGCAATAACTTCACTTCCAAACGATGAAATGTCAATGTCATTCTCACTGGACAATCGATAAAGATAACGCACCAGTCGACATATAGATAGCGCCACCAGGGGGCTCTAGATTCAAAAAGTCCTGTTTACTTTGGAACGCACCTTGTACATTCGGCTCAGTTGTTGTTACCGAAGCAGAATAAATAGCTGCGAAAGCAACCGCTTCCACTAAAGATCTGTGTAAGATTCCATCTGTCACAAATCCATGCTTTCTTTTGGCCCAAGCCGCAATATTGGGGATTAGTTGGTGTATCCAACGGCCCTTGAGGAAGGCGTTCCAACGCTCTTGCTATTCTCTAAGGCTGTACTGTTTCGCGCTTGCTCGCAGTGCCCTGCGCTGTGGGGGGCGTCCCTGAACTACCCGTGCCATTGCCTCTTTGTAGCTTGCTTAATTCACTTGCCAGAAGGTCTATACCATGTCTGCAATTACCAGGACGACGTCGTCGCACACGGTCCTAAATGTGCAAAAACGCCCAAAGCACCTAAGCGATTTACTACTTGCAGTGGTTGAACGTAGCTCTTTGTCTTCGTGTACTCGCTTCAGATGGGTGCTCCATACAGCATGATCACACGTATGACCCCATTGAGCAGTAACCTGCTGCCCTGATTGGTCCGCGGGTGTTCAGCATGATTCGCACTAATTCTCTCGCCGATGTGGCGGCAAGATGCTCCCGGAAGCACAACCCCACTATCGCTACGTTATCTGCGAATCATATTCAGGGGTGCCACAGAAAACTCCGGTTGTTTCGGCTACAGTTGTTTTTGAAGACTCCCAAAAAATACGTCGGTGCCACAGAACTTGGAAAGATTTCATTTTTTCGAACTCCCCCTCCAAGCAATCTGTCAGCAACAGCTGACTGTCGACTGATTGACTAATATTGTAAAAATCCGTAACGTACTATGTTAAATAGAAAACAAATATGCCATTTGCATTAATATTAATAAATTGTCGAAAAAATACAACTCAAATGCTTAAGAAGCGCATCTGATCCTACAAGGGAGAGATTTCTGTGGCACCCCTGATTACCTCAATGCTAGCTGGTGGCTACAGTCGCAGAACATTGTCGTACATAATATTCCATAGAAGTGGCCCAAGAACTGCACCTTGGGGTACTCCTGCAGAAATCTGGTGAGGCAGTATTGCTTGGTCCCACCCCTTTCAGCGCGTCCCCGAGATCTCATTCGATGATATGGCGACCACTTTGCTGATGTCATCAACCCGAAACCCGTACTAGGGGGAAGTACTGCTACTGCTGGTCCCACGTTGTCTGATTCTCCCATTTCCAGCGTGCCAAGAAATATCACTCCAACTATCCAAGAAAGTGTATTTAAGGAGGATGGTACTTCCTGTCTTTCTGCATTGATGAGTTTCACCACCGACTTGTACGCCTTGCTCCAGGGGTCGTGGTCTACCGAGTCATATAGCTTGAGGAAGCAATTCCTTTTGCTAGCCCGTATGTCTTTTCAAGGCTCTTGAGTATGCGCGATTCTCTGCTGTGTGCCTCGTAGTCTTTGGGAAGTTCGTCCGGTTGGATTGCATTCCCCTCGCATCTGTGCGATTTCCTCGTTCCACTAGAAGACTGCATCGTGGTGACGTGGGTTCCGTCTCCTCTTCGACATGCCATCGCATTCAGTCTGCAGTTGGGCTACGGCTTCCTGCACCATGCTTTGAGGATGGCCGGACATCCTCAAATTGGAAAGGCCATCCGAAAAGGCCCTACGGTTAGAGTGAGCAGCATGCAAATGTGAGGTCGGAACTATGGAACTAACTTGGAACTTGCTAAACGTGGGTTGCGTGCCTGTATTAAGCAGTGAGATTTCGAGGCTTGGGAATGTTTCCAGTACGATTCAGCGACGACCGTTTGTGACAGAGCTACACCAGTCAATGGCCCATGCGTGGAAATCACCAGCTACGATAATCTTAGCTGCGTCGACCACCAGCTCATCTAGGGCTGCCGCAAACTCGTTGAGAGTCAAGTTTGGGGTAAGGTTGCAGCTATAAAACAATAGGCCGTTACCTTTTGCCCGCACAAAGGCCCTATATGCCTTGGCGTGTTCCAGCTGTGGTCCACGATGCTCAGATTGGTCAGAAGCCCACCTGGAATCTGTCCGGGTTCTCTATGGCTCGCTCAGGATGGCCAAGCCGCTAGAGTGCTCTTTTAAATTGCGATGGAGAACCCTCAACCTCTATGGTTCGCTCAGAATGGCCAAGCCACGATTACCCTAAATCTCGCTTGTTGCACAGTTTCTTTGAACTCAAGTCACTTAAAGCTACAAGTGGCGTTATCTACGTTATGTAGGCCTTTTTTTTATCAAATAGTGCACATTTTGGGTCCTTTGTGAACGTTCTAGACACATGGGCTTTCTCTCCGTATTTAAAACCAGTGCCCTTCATATCCTCAGTGCTCTTGCATCTCGCTGTCATGTGGTCATAATGTAAGCATTTGCACCTCGTGGGTTCGATGACGCTTCGGGTCCGGCATACGACCTCGGTTTATTAGCTGGCAAGGATACTACCGGAATTTGGTGAGCTCCGCGCGTCTTGAAGAGACTTTACTGCCTAGGTTTCTACTTTGGCCATTTCCATGATGCTTGCTACTGCTGCGCAAATCTTCTCCTTTTAGGTCGCGGATTTCTACCTTGATTTTCTTCGACAGGGCTTTCACATAGGCAATCCCATGAAATGCCTTCCCCACCGCTGCGTGCAGTTTTCCGTCGCCATAAGTCGTGGATCTGCTCAGCTGTAACAGGAGGCTGCCGTTCTCTGTTTTGCAGGTGCTTTGGACATCCTCACGCATGCTCTGCAGTCAGACTTGACTGCTTTTAGCAGGTCAGCGATTTGACACTCGCCTACGCTTCTGGCATAAGGGGGCCAGGTGTGCTTTGTTTTTGTGCCCATGTCTTTGGACCTTGGTAAAGTCCGACTTCTCAGCTCTTCCGCGCTTACATGAGTTGCTGCCTCTGGTCGCTACGTTGTAATAACGCCGGTCCCTGCTGTACAATGACGAGGTCTTGGTAGTGCGTTTTTATTTTCTTCGGCGGGGTAGCTCGTTGCTTGCCCTTCGGGTCTTCGGGTGTTTTGGGGTGCCCCCAAGGGGGCGCTAC